GTGGGCTGTTGCTTTGCCTTACTCATTGTGTCCTTTTCCTTTGCCTTACAGAAGCTTCTCAGTTTCAGGAGGTCCCATTTATTAATTGAAGATCTCAGTGTCTGTGCTACTGGTGTAATGTTCAGGAAGTGGTCTCCTGTGCCTATTTCTCCAAGGGTATCTCCCACTTTCTCTTCTAGAAGATTCATTGTGGCTGGATTTATGGTGAGGTCTTTGATCCACTTGCACTAAGTTTTGTGCATGGTGGGTTCACTCTCTGCAGCTGCAGGCCCAGAGAGATCCCAGGCATCCCACTTTTTAATTGGATTATTTGGTGTTGTGATGAGTTTCTTGAGTTCTTTGTGTATTTTGAAATCACCCCTCTGTCAGATGTGGGGTTGGTGAATATCTTTTCCCATTCCGTGAGCTGCCATTTTGTCTTGTTGACCATGCCTTTTCGCCTTACAGAAACTTAGTTTCTGGAAGTCCCATTAAATTGTCTATTTCAATGTATGTGCTACTGGTGTTATGTTAAGGAAGTGGTCTCCTGTACCAATTCCTTCGAGAGTACCTTCTACTTCCTCTTCTTAGTGGTTCAGTGTGGCTGGAGTTATGTTGAGGTCTTTAGACTTAAGTTTTATGCATTGCGATAGATATGGACCTACACTAGAACATCAAGTTATGCCAATACCATTTGTTGAATATGCTTTCTTTTTTCCATTGTATAATTTTAGCTTCTTTGTCAAAAATCAGGTGTTCGTGGTGTGTGGGTCCATATCAGGGTTTTTAATTGAATTCCATTTTTCTACAACAGCCACAAACAACATAAAATATCTTGGGGGTAATGCTAACCAAACAAGTGAAAGACCTGTATAGAAAGAACTTTGAGTCTTTAAAGAAAGAAATTAAAGAAAATACCAGAAAATGGAAAGATCTTGCATGCTCTTGGATAGGCAGGATCAACAGAGGAGAAGTGGCAATCTTGCCAAAAGAAATCTACAGATTCAATGCAATCCCCATCAAAATTCCAACACATTTTTTTTCAGAGAACTTGAAAGAACAATACTCAACTTTATATGTAAAGACAGACCCAGGGTAGCCAAAACATCCCTGTACAATAAAGGAACTTGCAGAGGCATCACCATCCCTAACTTCAAGCTCTATTATAGAGCTATAGTCCTGAAAACAGCTTGGTATTGGCACAAAACTCAACAGGTAGACCAATAGTATTTTGTTTTAAACCTTGATTTTGTCCTCTGACACTTTTGTGAAAGTGTTTATTTGTTCTTATATTTTCCTTGAGGAGTCTCTGAAGTCTGTATGTAGAGGATGATATCATCAAAAATTCTGGTATTTTGACTAGTTCCTGTTTATTCATATTCCTTTAACCTTTTTTCTTGTCTTATTGACTACTTAATATTCAATTTTTTTGTGGAGTAAGAGGATTGTGGACACCCTTATTCCTGCTGGCTTTAGTGATGTTTTTCTCCATGTAGGATAATGTTGACTGTAGTTTTGAGCAGAGCTTTTATTATGTGGATTTGCTTTTTCTGTTATTACTTTCTTCTAGGCAGGCAACACAAAGATGTGGCTGACTTTGTCAAAGTGCTTTTCTGAATCATACGTTATCATGCCAGTTCTGTCACTGAGTCCATTTATTTACTGTATTTCATTTTTTAAAATTTTTGACTGTATTTCATTCTTTATTTGCATATGTTGAACCATCCATGTATTCCAGGAATGAAATCAACTTGATCATAGGATATGACCTTTTGATGTATTACTAAATTTTCTTTGCCAATATTATATTGAGAATTGCCTATCAGCAAGATTTGCCTATACTTTTTTGTGTTTCTAGTATTAGAATCAGAGTACTCCCAGCCTTTTGCAAGTTCTGGTATCACTCCTCTTTCTGTCTTATGAAATAGTTTAAAGGCTATTGGTGTCTGTTGTATTTAAGGGCTGGTACAGTCTATAGTGAATCCATTCTGACATGGACATTAATTATTGGAGAGGTTTTTCCTCTGTTTCTATCTCACTTTAAGTATAGGACCCTTTGAGTTGTTGGCATTCTTTTGTTGAATTTTGTTAAGTCATGGCTGTCTAAGAACTTATCTATTTCTTTTATATTTCTCAAATTCCTGGAATATAGTTTTGAGGCATGCCTTAAAGATCCTTTGAATTTCACTCAGTGTTTCGTGTAATTTTTTATCTCTACTATATTAATTTGTCTTTCTCTTGATTTGTAAAATTAGTTTATTTTCTTCATGTTGCTTTTTTTTTTGGTTTTTTGAGATAGGGTTTCTCTGTGTAGCTTTGGAGCTTATCCTGGCACTTGCTCTGGAGACCATGCTGGCCTCGGACTCACAGAGATCTGCCTGCCTCTGCATCCCGAGTGCTGGGATTAAAGGCGTGTGCCACCAACGACCGGCATGTTGCTTGTTTTTTAAAGTCTTACATCTTGCTTGCCAATTTGCCTTGCTCTTTCCTTTTCAGCTCTTTAGTTTATGCTCTAATCTTTATTTTCCTTTTTAAGTACTTCTTTCTTGGAAACTTCATATTTGAACATAATGGATTTATGTCTAACAGCCCCACCTTATTATTCCCAATGGCCCCTGAACCCCTACACTATGTCCTCTTCCAAACTTCATGATTATTTCACAAATTATCCACCTTGTCCTCTCTTTCCTTGTCCTTTTTCTGCCCATCCCCTTTTCCTTCATTCCCTTCTCTTTCCTCTCCATAAACCCAGAGTATAGAAATTGCTGTGCATATGTGTACGTGTTTAAGGCCAATAAATTAAGCATGGGCAAACAACCATGGTCAAAATCCTTTGAACAATACTGATCCTAACTCTGTAGCCATCCCCTGACAAAATCTTATTTGCCCTTCTAGTTCACATCTCTAAATCCTTCCTAATTTCTTAAAGCTTAGACCCACCTATTAGGGTTCTCAAGTAATGGCCTCACTTTTTTTTTGTACCAATTTTCTGGGAAAAATGTAAAACAGAAACAACACAATGGAGGAAGCTGTTATTCTGCCCTTTGGTTCAGGAGCTACCATCTATCATGGTAGCAGGAAGGCATAGTGCCTGAAACAGCTGAACCATGGCAGTGTGACATGGTCTTGTGCATGTTTGCATCCTGAGGGATTAAGAACTTTTTAAGACACAGACTTGATTCCACCAAAATTCCATGTCTTCTCCTGAGACATCATCTCCAAAGGAGCACATTTCCCAGAAATGTGCCTCCCTCTACTGCTAAGGTGTTCATATAAAAGTGAGTGTGGGGAAAATGTAGGTAACACACACAGGGACGTGCATAGAGATTTATGCACAGATACACATAGATTTGTACCCATACCTTCTCCCATGAATAAGCACAAACATGTATGCATACACAGAAACAGAGGTACACACATAATCGCATGTACATAGACATGTCCCAAAATGCACTTTAACATAGCCTTATACACAGGCACACACAGACATGGTCCTGCTATAGATATGAACACACATACACTGATCTGTTGACACATAGAGACAGACACATCTAGGCAAATTGTCCACACTCATTGACACAGACACTGACATGGAGAGGTACACAATCACTTGTCCACATATCGCTTCCTAAACACATGCAAATGCAAACATACATATTGCATTATTCAGGGCTCTCCAGAGTCACCGTACTTATGGATTGACTCTCTCTCTATCCAATATATTTATCTATATACATAATATATATATGAATTTATTATGATGCCCTTCAGGCTGCAGTCCAACCAACAATGGCTACGTATGAGTGGAAAGTTCAAGAATCTAGTAGTTTTTCACTCCTGTGAGGCTGAGTGTCTCAGCTGGTCTTCTGTTTCTGCTGGAATCCCAAAGAAGTGAGCTCCAATGCCAGTGAAGGAATGGATGTCCTGACAAGGCAAGGGCAAGCAGTTGAACATCCCTTCCTTCTTCCATTGTTCTTATATCGGCTTCCACCAAAAAGTGTGGCCCAGATTAAAGTTATGCCTTCCTGCCTCAAGATCCGGATAAAAGGCATTGTCATCCTGCCTCAAGATTTAGATCAAAAGCCCATGTCTTCCAGACTCAAGATCTGGATCACAAGTGTGCCCTGCATTTTTGGATTGTAGTTCATTCCAGATATTTTCAAGACCTCAAACAAGAATAGGTATCACACACTGACAGACTGACACACATCTCCACAAAGCAGGTAATGAACTTTGTCTGTGGTGTCAAAGAGAAGGGAGATGTGAAGATTGGGGATGCATGAGGGGATTCAGTATGTGGCCTGACCACTATTCTCTTGCGAGTGTGGAGAGAGGAGAGGCAGCTGAATTGGTTTTGGGGACATTATTGGGGCCAAACTGCTGGGTGTCTGGGAAACAACAGTGATGTTTCAATCCCAAGAGAGTTCTACAGGTTCCTCATGAGTCTAATGCAGAGTGGAAAGACAGGGCACAGGAGCCAGGGTGCTGAAGGGAGAGGTCACAGCTCAGTTCTCAGGCAGTAGAACACAGGAATGTGTCCAGCATTGCTATGTGGAGAAGGAATGGGAGTTCTGAGAGGAATGGGGAGGTATGAATGCTTCCATTCTGTTGGGAATGGGACCTGTCCATGGCAGGGTAGGAACAGAAACAGTGGTTTTCTTTCTGTCTCTGAATTATCTGGCAGAACTTGACTCTGAAAACGTCCCTCCACTCCCGACAGGCCTCCTAGGAATGAGTGAAGACACAGCCATATGTCTCCTACAGAGATTATCACCTCCTCTCAGAGCTACTCCCTCTTTCCAGACTTGAGAGAGGTTTGGAGTCAGGGAACTAACTTAAGTCCCCAGCAGTCTCCATCTCTCATTATCCTTATTTCTATGCCACAAAACAGGTCCAAAGAAAACAGTGCTTTTGCAGCACACCTCACAGATGGAGCCTTTGTGCAGTGAGATGGGGATGGGAGTGTCTGGCACCTGGTATAGGATAAATCTGGTTTTCAGAGTTCAGTAGACAGAGGCACCATGGAAGCCATGCAGCTGTTCCTGCTGACCATAGGTCTGACCCTGTTCTCTCTGGTGCAGGCTGGCTACATCAATCGTGGTGAATGTGCCACGACAGACAAGGTGAGATCTCTGGGAGATCTAAAGGCGGGAACCAGATTTTCAGGATCATGATGCTAGTCTGGGTGAGAGCATCAGTTTATTGATAGATTCTGTGGGTAACTTATGTTACGAGCAAGGATTTGCCTTCCAACATGGAGTTTTCATGTTTTCTGCCACATGGGTGGTACTGACAGTCAGAAGCATGGGCCATTCTGCCAGTCAGAGAACCAATACCTCTGTCTGTCAGTCAAGAGCTCCCAAGCACTTTCTATTAACCCCACATAAATGACACATTATCATTTCTGTTAGGGATAACACTAACTAAGAATAAGTCTTTGCTAGAACATGGATTGCTCTAGTCCTTAGAGAGTAGTCCCTGATAGTGGAACGAAGCAGGAACTGGACCCAAGGAGTAAGGCACAACCAGGTTTTGTGGGTGTGGTCATCAGTGACTGAATACTCAGTGGGTTTGTGGTCGTATTGTCCACACATGACCTGTCATTTCTGATTTCTGTCTACTCCACCCCAGCCTTATCCTGGAGGCACCTTTTCTATTTCTTATGGTTTATCTGTGCAGGGCCATGGCTGTGTCCAAACCCAGGAACAGAATCTCCAAGAATACCCCTGCCTTAGTTTGCTTGGAACAGCCTGCCAGTTATACATATGGGCTGGCCATGACCAAGGGCCCCTGACCCTACAATCTGCTCTGAGATGGTTCCCATACACCTCCTGCATCTGCTCCCCCTTCAGCTAGAGTGTGCAACACCTTGTCTTGGCTTTACTTTCTCTTCTGACCTCCTCAGCAGTGACTCTCCACATCTAGCTTTTAGGAAACTGGTATATAATTTGCTGGGCTGGAAACCTTCCTCTCCCAGAAGAAAAGCTGAGAAGCCCGCTGCCACCCTTCACATTCACCAAAAACAAAATTGGTTACTTGGAGTTTAAGATGAATATCTCGTGAGTATCTGCTTTCCGGCTGTCTACTTGGCTCTTGGCTCTATGTTCTCCTAACTCTCACCACACACACGGTCTCAACTTTATCTGGAAAGTTCATGTGAACATGTAGTCCTCTTACCCTTTCTGGGCAAATGTGTCAGGTGACTTCAGTAGCTTCAGGAAAGATATATCCAGGAACACTTAGCTTAGCACAAGAGACCCAGGGTCCAACCCGATGCATTCTGTGCCACTGCAAACTGCAAATGACAGGAACTTGCCAGCACAATGTTGTTGTCTCTTGGAGAAACCATTGTGGACATCACTAATTTGTGTGTAGAGAGGGAGTCTCTTGCTCTTCAGGTTTCCAGTGGATTCTGAGCTCAATGAGGAGTCTTGAGGATCATGGGCACATTCATGATTATGTCATCTGGGAGAGGCCTTGGAGAAACATTTTGAGATAAAGGGCATGGCCTGGCCTCCTCATGGACAATGGTTTGTGGTGGGTTGCTTGTTATGCTCTCCTGAACTCCAAGTATGGTTTGGTCATTGGCTCTGCCCCTATCTGTATCTGTGTTTTCCATGCTAGTGTGACATGGAACACAGAAGATGGGAGCACAAAATGGCAGCCTGGGGTTGTGCCTGGTTGCTGTATGTATTGTGTATGGGGGTTGCTGAGCTCCCGTCAGGGTTGGGAACTTTGCATGGGAGTAGGAAAGGATGAGGCAGAGAGAACCTTGCTTCTGCCTATGTCCAGGAAACCTATTGGATGTGTTGAGTTCAAGATCGCCTTGAATGAAGCAAAAGACAAACCTTGCTACTTTTCTGCCTGTAGGTGCTTATATTTACATTGTTCCATTTCAGACTCTTTTGGGGAAATGCTTATAGCCACACAGCTTGTTCTCTGTCTACAGGGATGTGGCACTATATTGGCATAGTGCTGTTTGAAGGGGACAACTTTGGTATCGCCTATTTAAATGCCAAGGTCGATGATACATACCAGAAGATGGCAATGCTCATGGGTACGTCATGCCCTGCCTGCGTATGTGGGTGTTGGTCTCGCTTCCTGTGTCATTGGGTACAGAGTTGTTGTCTGCATCCTTTACCCTAGTTCTAGTTCTGGCCTGGGGTCATTGTGATTTCTGGCACTTTGGGACTGGAATTTGTTAACCCTCCCATGCTTCATCTTCAGATGAGAACTGATATCTAGGACACACATCCAAACCCAATTTACCCATCCTCACATCCTGCCCTCTCAATCAGCCCTTGGTGCAGTCCTACTCTGAGCAGGGATATAGGTGGGATCATTTCTCACTGGTTATATTACTTTTCCCCTGTAGACCTGTGATCTCATCTGGGTAGGAGGGATGATGGTCCCAGTATCCAGTGACATTTGGCCAGAGCCCTGCTCAACATCCTGTTGTTCATAAGATGCTCCCCTTCGGCCAGATAATTCTGAGGTCATGAAGTCCATAGCTCATCACCAACTTAAAATGAAATGAAGAGACAGATAAGAGAGACAGTTTTTAGCTTTATTCACTGCTGGGGAAAATAAAATTTGTAACTTCCCCCCTCCTGATGTTTTTTTTTTATTTGAATTAGAAACAAGATTGTTTTACATGTCAATCCCAGTTCATTCTCCCTCCCCTCCTCCCCTACCACCCCCTCGCCCAACTAAAACCCTACCTATCACATATCCTTTCTGCTCCCCAGGGAGGGTGAGGCCTTCCATAGGGGGGGCCATCAGAGTCTATCAGATCCTTTGGCATAGGGCCTAGGCCCACCCCTGTGTGTCTTGGCTCATCTTACGTCTGTAAGGACTAGAAGAGATAGGATGTTGGCTTTGTGGCTAGAAGTAGGTTCTGTGCAAGTGCCTGAGCCTGACTTTCAACACCCAGCACTAACATACAATGGCAGTGGCAGGTAAGTATGCCTGTTACCCAGCAAATCCTGGACCTCAGATAGCAGGGCCCAAAAGAGGAGTTTCACATTCATTTAGAGAGTCTCCCTCAAGACAGTAATGTGTAGAGACCTGCCATTGTCCTCTGAAGAGTGTGAGAGCAAAGAGTGTGAGAGCATGTCCTGGTATACACACATACATAGACAGAGACACAGATACTCTCTCTCTCTCTCTCTCTCCCCTCTCTCTCCCTCTCTCCACTAAAGAGAAGCCAGAAATTAAACATGTATAACATGTATAGATTGAGCTAAGAGACAGATCAGTCACTTGCTGGTGAAGGAAGCTCTCCTGGTCCAATGTCCCAGGCTGTCTCTGTCCTCACAGAGAAGTCACTGTAGACACTGTTGTAACCAGGAGTGTCCATTGCTCTAAAGAACCCAGTGCCAACTGGACCCATGAACTGTACCTACCACCATCAACAAACCCTGAGACCTTGTCTTCTTCCTGATCTTTGAAGATTTCACCACATTTCAAAACTGTCAGCATCTCCTGACACTGTTCTCAGGATCCTTCCTGTCAAGTGCTTCCTCTGGACTGTCTCTCCTGTTCTTCTCCAGCTTCCTGTGCATCCTCATTTTTTCCCTCTGCCCTCCTACCCTCAACATATCCAGGCTTTGTGCACATGAGATTCTAACAGGGTCTTGGGAGGTATCCCAGCCTAGACCAGGAGATCTCAACAGAAACAAGCACTGATGGCCACTGCACCACCTTTACGTTGCAACCAAGGACTCTAGGGGATGTGGTGCTATTCAGACCCTGTTGTTGTTTCCAGCATCCCACCTACATTGCCAATATAAAATATCATCCCGGGCAAAGGAGGAGTCAAGTGCACACCCGGACCTCCCCCAGCATGTATTTTGCAGGCAGAGGATGGATTACTGTGGCCTTATTGTGTGGTGGTGTCTTGCTAACAGGACCTGGAAACAGAACAAAGCAGAGAAGTAGTCAATCACCAGTGGATTCCTCCTCTTGCTACCCAAGCTGTGAAACACAATATCTCCCCTAGGAGGGATTGAGGACAGTGGGTCTGGACGTCCCTGAGTTCAGGGTGTGTCTGTGGAGGGATTTCTGCATCTGTCTGTGGAGGGATTTCTGCATCTGTCCTCTGCCTTCCATGGATGGGTGACTGAAAAGCTTCATAAGAAGCCATGGAAGAGGGACCCACTTGGTGCTCAGCTCTCAAAGCAAAATTATTTGCTCGGGTGGTACTTGTCTCAAATAAGATGTAAACTTTTTGTCTCTCCTGATTGTTCCCATGTGGCTGGCGTCCTTCTCAGAGAGTTTGGTGTGAAAACACCCTGTCTGTTGCTTAAATCTGCCTATGTCACAGAAGATCCCCAAAGGGACTTGTGTGTGACCTGTCTATAGTACAAGTTCTTCCCTTTAATTGTCCCCATCCTCATCTGGCCTGCAGGTCGCCGTAATCATACTGCAAGCCTAACAATGCTGAAGGATTTTGAAACTGTTGTGATCCAACTATCCCTGAACAAAACAAGCATCATCACCCCCCCTTACGATGGTAATAAAGCAGCTTTTGCTGATTCTCCTTCCCTTCTATTAGTGATTTCCCTGTATGACAGTGTCCATGTCATCATGCTCCAATTCCCATCTTTCTGTGTTTACAAATAGATTCCTGTGAACTGGGCAAAGAATCCTAGTGCACAGAGGAAGCCTGCAGAGACTACATGGGCACCTGGTGCTGGGATCTTTCAATAAATGTGATGAATAGCTCCTGGATCTATGTTTCAAGAATGATTATTTGTTCACCTGCTCTCTGCTATTCAGGTGCAGGCTACTGCTCAGTCCTGACCTGTTGTCAGGAAGAAAGACTTCATGTTTACAGGTGGCATGCCATGGCAAAGAACGTCACTGAGCTTAGCAGTGGGCAAGGGCAAGGAAGGCAGGGGCAGGAGCCTGTTTTAACCAGTGAAGGTAGAAGAGGTTGAGTAGCTTTGTAAGGAAGCAGGTGCATTCGGCTTATATAGGTCATTGCAAGAACGTACGTTCTCAGTTCTGTCCTGAGGTTCTGCCTCTGGTAATGGATGCTGACCCCAGTGTGAGGCCATAGTTGAGGGTGTCTGTTGATCTGTGTATCTGGTCTCTCAGTGTGTGGAAGGTGGAGCTTGCTACAGAGGCATTTACCATCTGCGTATTAGCTTACTTGTAGTCACCTCCTGCAGGGACAAAGAGACAAAAGGCCAGAACACCAAAAGTCCAAATCAGGTCAGATTATGAGAGAGGGCAAATATTTACATATTCATTAAAGATCTATAAATCAGTGTTCATTCTTTTCAAATATAGTAATAATGTGTTCTTCTGATGCTATTCACATACAAAATGCAATCAGATCCTTCGTGGACCATCTCCATGGCATCAGGAGGCTTTGACAAAATGGCTCAAGTGGGCTTGGCCTCAGTCTGTGGACTAGCTTCCTGATAGACAGACCATTATGAGCTGATATTTGTGCTGAGAAAGCTCAGTGCATCTGTCCCTGTCCCCTGTGCAGCGCCAGGCAGTAATTGTCAATCACAGATGATGTGTTCCCTGGAGGAGGGAAGGGGGAAGAGGAATTCAGAGGACCTGACTCCTGCCCAAGATGAATATGTTCATGGGGCAGCCTTAAGGGTGGAACCTGCTTATAGAGGATCTGGGAGCTACAGACACGACAAATATCCTTCTACAATTGTGTAGTCACTACCAGAGCTCTGTCACAGAGTGTCTGGAGTCTGGTGAGATAAGTTGTTTCTGAGCCTCTGATGTGTTTGTGTGGATGTTTCCCATCCTGATATAAACAAATTCTACTCTATCTATCTAGAGCATGCCAAACAGGGCTCTGGCAGGCCTTACCATTCTCCTCAATTTTCTCTGCCTTGATAAAATCTTTTAGATTACATTCCAAAATTATCCACCAAGGTGTATTCCCTCATTTGGCTACTTTCTCCTCTTGAGACTGACCACCAATGTCCAGCTATCAAAGTATTAAAGTCCAACAATCAAAAGTATGCTTTGGCTCTTGTAATAAACATGCCAAATTGAAATTAAATACCTCATCATAACATGGGGTTTTCCTCCTCAACATAGATTGTCTTTGGTATTTTTGATTTTAGCCATTCTGACAGGTGTGAGGTGGTATCTCAGAGTTGTTTTGAGTTGCATTTCTCTGATGGCCAAGGATTTTGAGCACTTTCTTAAGTGTCTTTCAGCCATTTCGGACTCCTCTATTGAGAATTCTCTATTTAGTTCTGCACCCTACTTTTAAATTTCATTGTTTGGTGTTTTGGTGGCTAGCTTCTTGATTTCAGTGTATATTTTGGAAATCAGCCCTCTATCAGATGTGGGGCTGGTGAAGATCTTTTCCCATTCTGTGGGTGGTCGTTTTGTCTTTCATTTTTTCTTACTGACTGTGTCCTTTGCCTTACAGAAGCTTCTCAGTTTCAGGAGGTCCCATTTATTAATTGCAGATCTCAATGTCTGTGCTACTGGTGTAATGTTCAGGAAGCGGTCTCCTGTGCCTATTTGTTCAAGGGTATCTCCCACTTTCTCTTCTAGAAGATTCATTGTGGCTGGATTTATGGTGAGGTCTTTGATCCATTTGCTCTTAAGTTTTGTGCATGGTGATAGATATGGATCTATCTGCAATCTTCTGCATGTCCAAATCCAGTTGTGCCAGCACCATTTGTTGAAGATGCTATCTTTTTTCCATTGTATAGACTTAGCATCTTTGTCAAAAATAAGGTGTTCCTAATTTGTATAAAATGCCTTTTATTTGAAGGCCACCTCTGTCTCCTCTCTATCAAGAGGCAGTTATTTGTCTCCCTGCCGCAACAGCTTTAGGGACAAATACCCCTTTGCTTTTTTCACTGTTGTCTTCCCCTTCTCTCTTGTCCTCTATCTCTTGTCATCATCTCGTATTTTCTGCTATTTGTCCCTCTGGGGCAAATAAATCTCCTTTGTGCCAAGAACTTGGTCGTGGGGTGTCCTGAGCCAATACTGGTCCCTATAGAACCAGTGACAGAACAGTGTGGAATTTCACCAAAATCCAACTAGATCCTGTGACTCCTGTGCTTTCTATAAGGAGTGTGTTACTTATAGGCATATGGGTGACCCCAAACCAGCTGCATCACTGAAATGTGTCTTCATAGCTTGATGACAATATCCCCACAGGGACATGGATAGAGTTTCTCCTTCACTTATGCTTTAATACTCTACATATTCTAAATCACTTCTTGATATGAAGAGACCATGTGTATAATTGGGAGAAATTACACACTGCAGTAGAGTGTACAGAAACACAGGTGAGGGTCTGAAGATGCCACTTTCTCCTTCTATAAGGATCTCTAGACATATTTGGTCTTAAGGGTTTCTTGCGAACCACAGCTACCACTCATAATGGTGGTGGGTGTTACACTTGGGGATCAGCACTCTACAACAGGCCTGTCCAGGATCTCCACACCCTTCTCTGCTATGTAGGAAACAGGAATGTAGCCCATTCTTCTGGGTCCTTGTCATAACATAACTACCCATGTTCTGTGAGCCTCCCAGAGGCTCATCCAATTGGCATCTGTGCTACACAGAGCTGATTTTCCTTTGCGTCCTACACCTGGAGTGAGAATACTTGTGTTTGATCTTTGGGCGTTGGGGCCATGGATGTGGACTTTGATGGGTGCCGTGAGTATCCCTGCACACTGGAAATCACTGTGAAGCTAGGCTTGTCTTGTTCCAACAACAGAACACAGACCATCAGATGGAGACACTGGCAGGGTGGACCCTGTTCTTAATAGCCCCTGAGAGAGGGGAACAGGCTTTGTCCTCAGAAGCAAGGACAAGGATCATGTATGTTGAAGTGATGCCCCTTGAGAGCCATCAGACAGGTTAAGAGTCTGACTTTTCTGCTGTGGAATCTTACTGTATGTCTTTCCTGGATCAGAGTGTGTTTTCAGGAGGAATGCACTTTAGTGACCAGCCCTGCAGTGATCCTAGGGAACCACGAGTTTCCCTTTGGTGTGCAAAACCAATGTAGAGAGAAGATAGGGAGGGTGGCTTGTCTATGGGGCAGTGTGGAGGTGAGTTAGAGCCAAGGTCCAGTGGGGATGCAGTCGTTTTATTAGGCTCCTGTGTGTCGACTAAGTTGTGGGGCTTCAAGGCACAGTGTCTCTTATTCTGTTGCAATCAGTAGTATGTGTCTGTCCCCAGAGTGTGACAGCAAACCATGTCTGTGGTTGGGATTGGACTCAATAGCTGCTCAGGAACACAAAGGAATTGTTGGCCTCTTCCAACTGTACCCCTCAAAGCTGGGTTAACATGTCATAATTACACAATTCTATTCCATTGGCTCCACTATTCATATCTCAAGAACAGAACTTTCCGGGAAGCGGAAGCTTTTGGCTAATGCTGTATGATTTACATGCACACAACTGGATCAAAAAGCATTTTTTGGAAAGTGTTAAAATCAATAAAAAAGAATGCATCTTGACCAATATAGGACACCAGAGGCTCCTCCTGTGGAAATTTGTAATAACATCTAGTATAATATTCTGTTCACAGGGTACCCAGAACCCTTCATCCTGGAGAGCCATACAAGCTGAACAACCCTTCGCAAGGCTCCAGTTTTCTTCATCTATTTCTAGGTGCTACCAACCATGGCTAAGAACCTGGGCAAATAGTCTGGCAGGGAAGCTGCCAAGAACACTTTGAAGTCCAAGGGCAAGCCAGCAAGGCATGCGGGGCAGTGGTAGAGACCACATCAGGGCAGCAGTTTGTGGGGGCTATTAGGGATGATGGAGCTGTGGGATATCTGAAAGGAGAAGGCAGCATCTACAGGAGCTCAGCAAAGAGAAGGCACCCACCTCACAAGGGGAGATACAAGATACTGAGCAAGGGGGAGGAAGATCTTGAAACCAGCCATAAGGTTATTGTTCTAGTCCCTCATCCTCTTGTTATCATTTCATTTAGTTAATTTTTGATTTTTTGTTCTTTCTGCATAAGACGATGAGTTGTGTCTTCACTATGATATCAACCTTCTCTTGTCTCTATTTTGTTCATAGTAAAAGCAAAATGCCACAGTGGTTCAGAAATCAACACTGTTTGCTCTACCCTCTCTCTAACCATGGTGTCCAGTCAACCTCCTCTCCCTGCCGTACCATGTGCTCTATCTTCTCTGCCCTCCAGTCACTTCTTGCCACAGCTAGGCTCTCTTACAGGCCCCACTGAGTGTTCCTCCCACCTGGAGTCCTCTTCATGTCCTCATTCATGGCTCATTCCCTTCACTAACTTCAATTATGGGTTTAAATGTCCCTTTGTGCAGCTGGCTCAGACAATTCCATTTATTACACAAACCCTTAACCCCTACAGTTGCTGTTAACCTTGTTCCATTTGGGGACTTCCTCGTGGCATGTGCCACTCTTGTAATAATATATAATTAAGTAATCAGGATACAGGAGCACAGAGTAGACTGAGCAGGGATAGTGAATACAATGAGCCTTTGGCAACACAGTATAATGAGAGGTAGAGACACTAACC